ACTATGGTTTTTTGAGTTGCAATGGTGAAAAACATGGGACGGTTTTTTATTGTGTTCTGTCAATCTGGTTTCCAATTTTGATGACAAAAACCTGGTCGAAACGTTGTACATTTGCTGTTATGTTAAACTTATATTAAAGTTTTTCTTCATTACCCATTCAAGCCGTCTCCAACCATTATATAAGCATACGTTTTTAACATCACAAAAATACTTACGTGCGTGAATATCCTCGCGGGCAGAACAGACACTACATATCATAAAGTAACTCAACGACTTTCCGAACCACGCGTTGCTGTTATTACCTAAATAACCGAAGATAGTTAGTCTAATGAGAAGGTTTGCTGGAAAGGTAAAATATTATTATTATTATTGAATATGTTATATTTTACACCACACAGAATGGTTTCGGAAGGAAAAAAATATCTAATTAATTGTTCGCCTACTATTCAATCTATGTATCAGTGAACTCGTCCGAATAATGGGAAAATATTACTGTACGGCAACAAATGTATTAGCCCACTCCGCTCCCCGGTAGCTCAGCAGTAAATGTTTTGGGCTTGTAGCTCTTAGTATTTGGGTTCGATCTCCGCGGTGGATAAAACAGAGATATGACGAGGTGTTAACATTTTGTAAACTTGTACATTAGATCTTTTACTTTGTGATGACCCACTTTCCATTACCTAAATTGGAGCATGCGCAAATTAAAATGAAAGTATTTCACTGTTGTAAAAAAAAAAAAAGAAAGTTTCTCCGGGCAAATAAATAATTACAATAGAGACAGAAACAGTGGGTGCTATTGGAATATGGTAGCATAAATTTACATTTTTATTGATCTAAAACAGCTTCTTATAAATAAAGACTTAATGATTTTGAAATTTGTAATAAAATTTAATATTTTTTTTTGGATCGTGAACACTGTATATAACCACTGAAATCAACTAATTTGTAATATTATTACTGCGACAGAGATAGGGCGTAATGGTATACGTTGTTGTAAATTAGGTTACGGCCCACTTTCATTTCTATAAGTAGGGGGGAAAAGTAGGTCAGATTTCCTACTAAACAACTAGGCTTCGGTAATTACAAGTGAAGCCAGCTCGAAATAAACGCCACTTTTCTCCATGTAAACTATGTACTTGCGGTGAACAGGGAAAAAAAGGTACATTTTCTTGGATACACTTCTTTAGTAGTTAGTAATGCTTTACGAACGCTTTATTAATTTACGAAGAGAAAAACGCGCCAAGACACGTCCTTCAAGTAAACTAACATTCTAAATAACCCCTTTTCTGTCGCATACTTTCTAATACGAGGATATGATAAGGTATAATTATGATAATATAGATAAGGCTATATTTTAATTACGTGAAGAAACATGTCAGGTGTGGTAAGTTTATTTTTTCTGACAGATATGGCATCTTTCAGTTAAAATTATACTTTGATGGTACCGTGTCTTCTAAAAGCCGTTTTGTTCTCGCCGAAATCCCGATGAAGAGCCGTTGTTTTTAAATTTGAAAATAAAAATGTGACAGTTTAACGAGTCTTTCACATTGTTTGTTTTGTTAGTAACGCGCTTATCCGTCCATGCTGCGTGTGTAGTAGCAATAAGTGTAATTACAAGTTGTCATTGAAGTCGGTTTTTTTTTTACTCTTACTTACAATATCTGCCCAGCATTAGGGGTAGCACAACCGTAAAGTTACTACAAGTAACTTCTCCTTGAATAAATAGCTACAACTTTAAAATACAATCTTTGGTAAAAGTACGATTCTTTTTCACTTTTCTCAATATTGATAACCGATCACAAACATGCCTGAACAACATTACACAATGAAATTGCAAAAGCATATCAGTTCATGATAAAAAAACATAATTTATTACCACTCCGTTACTACAGCCATTAAAGCTTTGCAATTTAAGAACAAAAAACGGTATGGTATTACATGTATCTTATGTTAGTTCTGTATATAAAAAAAAAGTAATCCATTTCAAGTTTAATTTTAATAAAAGTTCAACGGTTTTGTTTTCATTGTAATAATCAATAAAAACGTAATTTTACACCTGGTGTAAATCCTTTTTACTACAAGATTCACAATAATAATAATAAAACATAGCAGCTCCATCCAGACGCAATTACTACAGGTAAGTAATGACAAAGTTAGGCTTAACAATAAATTATTATAACCGCGATAGTGCTTAATTAAATAAATTTGTTCCTGTTTGTTGGTTAACAACCGATACTAACACTAGTAACAGTACCACACACTACCACTGAGTACCAGTTACAATATACTTACTATCGTACATAATTGTAAGAAATTAGATGTTAATTTGTTATTCGAATGTATTAAAAAATCGTTTCTAATGGTTATCGGTTAACAAAGAGTTACAACTTAAAGTCTCTTTGTGGTTGCAGCCTCCACAGGTTTAATTAATATGCTTAATTGCTATAGATTTCAAATTCAAGCAGTTGAAACTGCACAAATTTGTCACTACTGCAGCTCTTTTTGCTGTAATGGTTCTACTTTTAATAATTCGACAAGAGAAACAAATTATACATACAAACACATTTCTTACTATTGATATTCAGAAACTATTCCAATACAAAAGTCCATTCTGTACTGGAAACATATAAAACACTCTAGTTATTAAAATAAGAACTGAATAAAACTTAAAAGTGTTCTAAAAGGTCACAGTAGCTTAACCCTAGAATTCCCAATGGGATTCATAATGGTTTCTTAAACACGTTTTTCAAAAACTGTTTATGCACCAAACTACTTGTGGGTCCATGGTTTTGACGGTTACAGGGTCCTTAATAACATAGGAGTCCCATAAAAAAAAAAAATGTGAACATAAATACTACTTAATCACAATGCCCAGTCTCCTATATAGTTGCATTAAAAACAAACAAATTTGCTAAATTTTTCATGGTCACTTATTTACAAAATACCACAATTATTGCACTTAATCCCACAAATCACTGCTTCAGCTGGGATTTCCTATGCATTTGAGATTTAAAAAAATTAATTTGAGGACTAACCAAACATTTCCTCACTTAACGGAACAAGAAAACGATAATATAACTCGCACAGATAAAGATCTTAACAGAAAACACACGTGGAAGATACTTTGTTATAAAAAAAAACAGTATTACTGCTTCAGGTAGAGTTGTTTAATCCTGATATTTTAATTTAAACAATATTTTAATACATATTACAACCATGTAGTTTTTAATTTTTTAGTGAACAATATTTCAATTAATATTTAATCCTAAAGTTGTGAGTCAATCGTACAGAAATTGTCATGTTTTTGATGGCAACTTTGAACAAGGGACAATCACTCAGACCAATTTCTCATACGAAATTTGACAATTAATTTAGGAATTAACCTCTTGCTTCAAAAAATGAAATTAAACTCTTAAAACGTTTTATATTGATAAAAATTCCCAAAACACACGGGGCCATTCCATTTTAAACTGTAATAATGTTTAACAACGTGTTCATGCCATCTACGACAGACACGGTGCACTCAGTTGATACAACAATCAATGTTCAACTGTTCCTGCTGACTTGTGTTGGTTTAGGGCTAACAAATCATATCTGTCTCTGTAAACCACATAACAATCTAAGACAGCGAAAGTGGTTACAATGAGACTTTCGTTTAGATTCTAGTGTTTTGTGTACGACTTTTCTTTCTGATCACTTTAACAAGAATCCCACACCATTTGCTTTTCATGCAAACATCACCCTTAACTTTGCACTTACAACCGAGACCGGGGTAAACAGTGACTTTTAGACGTTTTCTCAGTGTATTCCAGCTGGTTTAGTATTGAAAGCAATTTTTCTATAAGTATATTACTTTACTTTCACCAAAACCGTGACATAAATATGAGAAAACACATTTTCAAATGAAGGTTTCTCTGCAAGAGTTGAACCAATTAGCACAAGAATTATTTTGTTTAAATTCTAAACATTAAATTATCATTGAATGGCAATTTTAGCTATTTTTTATCGTTTGTTGGACATTAAAAGTGATGACAAAAACATCCACCGATTTCTGTATGATTAACTAACAATATTAGGATTATATTCTGTCTAAAAGAAGTTTCTGGTGACGGATAGAGATATATTTTGGATAGCTTAAGAAACTTCATCTGTTTGTGGTATAGCTTGGGAACAATGTTTCACACTGCTTACACAGATTTTTGATTAAACATAATAAACTATTTTCAAAGTTAAAATAATGTGATGATGAAAGAAAAAATGATAGAGCAAGTTTCTTGGAAGTATGATTACGAAGTACTACATCTTGGTAGAAAAAAGGTTTTAAAAACCATTTGAAAATAGTCCCTTATTATGATCTTCTTGACTACAGAAATCTATTCTCAAAACTTCAAAATTGGCTTCGTAGGAAACAAGTTGGAAGGATCTTGACAGATGACGATATTGCTACGAAGGACATGAAAATTGTTTTAAGACAATTTCTTGTTATGATCACATGATAATATTGATAACATCCTTCGTGCCTCAGAATGTTTCAGGTGTTTCCTTGACACGGTATTTCTGCATGCATTCAGTGGCTGGAGTTTATCATCTCGACTAAACTGGCAATCAAACGTAATTAGTTCTGAAAAGTATGAAAATTATGATCATATAAAATATGAAATAGCTGATTTCAAGTGAAAAATTCTCATTAAGATGTACATTAACAGTTCCTTACCTAACCTAACTGAAATAAAATAAAATGCAGCTCTCATCTATCATAGATTGATAAGGATAAAAATACAGTTATATGAGACTGATTTGGTTATAAATTGGTTTAATTCAATATTTTGGGATTAATAGATACTTCACTAGTTAGTGGAGAAATAAAATTGCTGACATTGATAGAATCAAAACATCAGTCTCTAACTAAACCTTGGCTTATTCCAGCTGTCTGTAAATCCTTTAGTCTTGACTATATTTACAGACCTTTTTTTTTTTTTATATAGCCTATTATTATTATTGTAAACGCATTTATTTTTTATAGGATCATGACTGTACAATTAGATAGTTATGGAATGTTCTGTAGGCCTAACAATATTGACCAATACAGATATATTAACAACAAGTTCCGTTAATTGCTTCTTAGAGGTGTTGCATATATGGTTGGGAAGTTTGGAATCTGCTTTATTCAAATGTGCAATCCGTATGATGGTGACATATTTCATTTGAGAGTTATGAATAGTCAAAATGACATAAGATTTCAAAGTGGTTGCACTACCTTATCAGCAATGGTCACACACACACACATTTATTATTATTATTATTTTTTTTTTGTTCTCAAATCAAATGATGTGACTTTCCTTCTTTGTACGTTAGGGGTTGGAGACCTTGTTTTTGATTTTTTCATCTGGTGGAAGGCTACTGTTATCCAGTTACCACAAAACCTGTTTTTTTTTTAGTGCCACCACAGCATCTTTGAGCTTGATAGATGGATTTGCCTCAAGAAAGGCTGTCGTCCAATAGTCCATCATGATCTCATCCGCAGCAGCTGCACAGATTGCAAATCAAACATCGTGGAATCTTGCCCGTGCAAGTAATCAAGGGAATAAGGGTGACTGATAATGAATGCCGAAGAGTAGCCAAGTTCCGGCTACGGTCAGTGGCGCTTGAAGCTATCTTCTGAAGAGCTATTGGGCTCTGGTTTGAAAAACGGATGCAATGACGGACGAAGAAGAAAACTCACATAGCAGACTTGTCGGTTACACAACAAGTACTATCCTTAACTACAGGATTTCTGTTGCTGTTGATATTGTGGCAAGTCATGACTCTGTAAATTTTTGTCCAGTTTGTAAAGTGTAAATGCTAGTTCTCAAATCTCATTACATGTTAAATCCTACACAAGTTTCACTGAAATTGGATAAATAAATTTTTTTTTTGCATTCAATCAATGACATTGAGGTGCCTCTGGCTGAGGGAGAGATCTTGTGCTAAACAGTGGGCGGTTTAAGAGTTGTAAAGCTACTAACAAGACAGCTTTTAGTCTCAATTTTAGTTGATCTCAATTTTTTCTTTCAATAATGCAGTTACAAATGTGTGAGAGCTGGAGGGTAACTTGTTACGAACGTGCGAGAGCTGGAGGGTAACTTGTTACGAACGTGCGAGAGCTGGAGGGTAACTTGTTACGAACGTGCGAGAGCTGGAGGGTAACTTGTTACGAACGTGCGAGAGCTGGAGGGTAACTTGTTACGAACGTGCGAGAGCTGGAGGGTAACTTGTTATGAACGTGTGAGAGGTGGAGGGTAACTTGGGGTATTTTGTTGAATGCATAATATTTCTTTTGGCTGGAATGACTGGTATTGCATAAACAGAAGGAAAATACCCTAAATTTATCATGAGGTTATTCATTGTTCTTCTTCACGATTACCAAGAATGGAATATAAAACATTTTCAATGAAGGAAATGATTTTTCCAATCCTGCTTCCTTGCTTGCTCACCTCTGCCGCACCATCTTAAATGCAACTGAAGGTTTTAATTTATTTTTTTGCTCCACAGGTGATGGCTAAGCCACCAAATGCTCTTGTGGTAGAGCTTGTCATTAAAACAGCGTGCAAACAACCCCGAATCAACCACATGATACCGTGTGCGTAGTCATACTCCTATCACATAATCACAACAATAATGGAAGACTACTGAAAAAGTAGGACACGCTGTGGGACTACAATATTAAAATATGTTACTGGTGTGTACCCTACACATTCGAAATAAAAAGTGTAAGTTCTATCATCTGTTTATATAACTTGCACTAAACATGTATAAAAAAATTTTAATTTTCTCACTTTTATACAATCTGATACTCCAGCTTTGGTCAATGTATAGCAAGTTATAAAAAAATATATATAGCAAGATACTAATGCAATAAGAACACGTTATTTTCAACCTTCAGGTTTAGAAATATATACTCACCTTGAGATAATTTTCTGATAATGGGTTGTTTTCTCAGCCTGGTAAAGCAATCACTGGGGGAGGATGAAGAATGCCATATGTTTGGGTGAAATACTGCATGAATTCCTGTCCTGGTTGACCAAAACCTTCTTTTAGATTCTAAGTAGTGTTTAAAGATAAACAGGCGATTATAAAGCTGGCCGATAGTTATTTGGCACTAAACCATTCGGCAGTATACATTTGTACATTACATATGACAAGATGCATCTTAAAAGCTTGCCAGTGAACCTAGCAATCACTGGCTGCAATGTAAGGCTAACACTAAGTTTGTGTTGCTCTCGCATATCATAACCATAACAATGTTGACGTCTTACGAACAAATAGGAGGGAAAAAAAGACACGTGTACAAGCTAGTGTGAAATGTATGAAAATAAATGGTTGCCTAGTGCCTCCTCCTGATGGCTACTTGTTGCTCTCAAGAATCTGTTGTTCACATTCTGCTGAATATACTGCTAAAATTGTATAAATATGCTACCCTTTCTTTTTTCATTGCTAGAGTGGCAAATGCAAAAACAACTAAAATAACCTTGTATTCGCACAAGTAAATATTAATTTTGACACAGAAAAGAGACATGCAGCATAACCTTCTGCCATCGAGTAGTTTTACTAAATTAAACTACATAATGAACTAAGATAAATGACAATAAGTTATCTAGTATTATTATGTTTCTTTTAAAATATCTTTACTGCGTGTCCAGAAGTTATCAGTGTTTACAAATATACTCCTGAAATAGATTTTTTGAAACAATAATCTCTAAAGAGTTTGATTACGGATTTAAAAAAAATTTATATATATATTGCTAAATTATTTTAGCCAACTTGATACTGAAGGGTTCTCTATATTTTTGTTAACTTATTCTTATTTATTAGATTAAGTAATAAAATAAATATAAAAATTTATATAACAATATTAATATTGCACGTGTGCAGTGCTTCTGGCCGATTTAGTGGTTATAAAATTCAGCTTAATTATAACGAGAAAAATAAACGTTTGTACAAAAATCTATAATTACACACATGCACGGTGAAGTGCGTAATATCAGTTCAGGTGGACTGGATACTTTAAAAAAGTTTAAAATTTCCCTCTTGGATCTATAATTCTAAAACAATGAGTTATTAAAACTAATTTTAAGCTTTTAATGTACATAAGAACATTACATTTTTATCATAATAATGACACTACGATATTCACAAAGATGTCAGTAAATGGAAATAAGATTTTCCTTTCAAATGTGAAACCAAGTTATTATCTAAGGTCTATTGTGTCCAAGTTATTTAATGTTAGAAGTTTAACCTTCTACGTTAGCACTAGTACACAGGTCTTACTAAATGACCAAAGGTCAAAGGTCAAATCTTTTCTAAATTTATGTCCAACATTAAGCAACGAAAAAAAGTGTTACCTTCACAAGAACGCATTGATGATCTCTTTTGGAATGTCGTTGTGACGAATGATGTGATATCAGTGATGATAGCTTTTTCTCACTGTCAACCTTGTAAAAATACATGTTTTGGTTAAACTATCGTAACAAACTTTTTCCCCTTTATTATTTAAAATTAGTATATTCAAAGTATTGCTAATGTCACATACCAAGTAAACAAACAAAGTTTTATGCTGAATCCATATTCAACAAAAGAGGCACTGTATTTTATTAGTTTTATACTGAATCCCTATTCCATATTCAACAAAAGAGGCACTGTATTTTATTAGTTTTATACTGAATCCCTATTCAACAAAAGAAGGACTATTGTACTTTATTGAAAGCTGTTTCGTAGAGGATTTTCCAGCTGAAAAGATGTTCACCATTATACTTGGTCAAACTAAAATATCACAATATTACTATCGCTTCACCCTCCACACAAGCTTCTTCATTTCTAGGTGAGATATTTATTTATTTTAAAATAGGAAAGTACAATTTTAGCAGCTTGCATGTAACTTCTACATGTTTATTTTTTATTTTTTGAGAAGAAACAATCATAAAATATAATTTCACTCTGACAGAGGAGTTAGAAATGATAATTAATTTCTAATGTTATGTCTTACCTTCACCAAATCAATATTGTTTGCGTTACAAAAAGCCTGGATCAGAATAGAGTGTATACAAGCTTCTACATCATGAAGAGAGTCTTCTGTAAGGATACATAATAAAATACTCGAAGGGGTTCTAGAGAAAAAAAAAACAACGGAAACACAACACAATAAGGTTTTAACAATGCTTGTCATGACAAAAATTAATTTTTAACATATGATATAGGGAAGTATTTACTACGATCTATAAAAAGAAATTACAAGAATTATGTAAATTTATTATGTTCAACAAGAGATTAGCACAAAAACTACAAGGAATACATGTGGCAGTTTTATGTCCAGTGTTTTTATACAAATGTTATTGTGTAAATGTTTTAGAAGGTCACTGTACTTTCTACAGTGTTAAGTCAACTAGAATTGATCAGGGTACCGTACTTTCTACAGTGTTACGTCAACTAGAATTGATCAGGGTACCATACTTTCTACAGTGTAAAGTCAACTAGAATTGATCAGGGTACCATACTTTCTACAGTGTAAAGTCGACTAGAATTGATCAGGGTACCATACTTTCTACAGTGTAAAGTCGACTAGAATTGATCAGGGTACCGTACTTTCTACAGTGTTAAGTCAACTACAATTGATCAGGGTACCTTGCTTTCTACAGTGTTACGTCAACTAGAATTGATCAGGGTACCTTACTTTCTACAGTTACATCAACTAGAATTGATCAGGGTACCGTACTTTCTATAGTGTTAAATCATTTATAACTGATCAGGGCACCATGCTTTCTACAGTGTTAAGTCCACTAGAACTGAGCACACTGTCACAGGAATCTGTAGTTTCTTACTTAGATGCCTACAGCAAGGTTTCTACTTTTTTTCCCCATTTTCTGTTTCCGGTTTGACATTGTTTATTGTTTAATATCAAAGTTTATTACAAGCATACTACTAATGTGTTTTAAATTATATCATTTTTACTTGTTTCCATAGCTAACAATTTTTTTTACGTTTGGATTATTGTAACCTTGTTTTTAGTTACACTATTTTGTTTGAAACACATGTACACCGATAATCTTATTACATCTTAAATCCTAGTTTATGGGAGCTCTCAATAGGTAATGAAAGAAATTGTTTTTAATACATGCGACAAATAATTTAAACTTATATTTTTAATCATAGGGGTAAAATCTACACTTCTAAGATATCAAAGAATGGACATGATCTTTTAACACTCCTACTCAGAGATGGATAAACGAATCTCAGATTAGTGCCACATTCAAAACTTACTGACTAAAGCTAAGTTCACGACACACTCATGAGGTTAACTTGACAGTCTGCCAAAGGAACTTGAAATAGATCACTACAAGTGAAAGTGGGTTATACTTAACCTTTCAAGGGCCTGGGCTGCATGGTACACTCCACATACTAGTTGTCTTTTCAGCTTGGCTTCAGTCAGAAACTTTTTTAGCAATTCCCCCGGGGAATCTTGACTGTATTAAAAATAAATAAACTGATCACAACTGAAGATATGCATCTCAGTGTTCCCAAGAGCTTTAAAGTTTTTGCCATTTTTTTGTAGTTTATTAATAAATTAATTTGAGAAATTTTTTTGTACAGGTTGTCTGTGTTAAAAAGTTTATTTTAATAACACGTTTCCAGCTGCGAATGACTTGTACACCTGATCAAAGATAGCATAGATATGTCTATTTATGTATGTGACCAATACATAGATAATTTAAGGACCTATTGGTCCAGATAGGCTGTTTCATCTACTAAAATAAAAAACTCAAAGCCAGCCCTTTTCATTTAAAAATTTATCTTTAAATCAATTATTTCCACCACATCTGAAGGTAACCCATTGCAAAGATTAAATCACCCTGTTAGAAAAATAAAACTATTAGCTGAAGATGGTTCCTACCCTGCCAAAATATATAGTTGTGTTTCATAATCTTACCATTTAGTATGAAAAAAGGTGATGCGCCGAAATCAGTTCAGTTAATAATCTTAAACACCTCAATCAAATCCACATCTATCTTCGTATTTTCAAGAGAGAACAATTTCCGAGATCTTATATGATAACCTTTCCATTCTAGTTATGTCTTTTGTTGTTGTTGTTTTCAGTCTTTACCCGAGAATATCACATGACTTATCTTCATTAAAATATTTTTGTTTACAAAAAGTATTAAATATGTATATTCATTTCGAACAAGTCCCCAACATCAGTTTCAGTTCATAGGCCACCTACTTCGTTTCTCCTAGTGCTAGCGAATAAATAAAGTTGATACGTAAGGCTTAGCCATTTCAAAAGGGTTAAATATCAGAAAACTCGGGGTTACAATTTATAAATTAATCTTCGTCAAACGACACTGCTGTGGGGTGAAACTTTAAACAGTAAAACACGACTTGGATCAAAAATAGTTTGGTAAGTCACATTAAAATACGTATAATAAAATGCGTTGTCACCAATCTCATGAGTCACGCACTAAATATTATAAGCACGCATCACCTTACTTCACTTAGTTATGCGCTTGCATCATCCACGCCAGCACGTGCAAGTCTGTGGGAGTACCTTGGTTCAACGGGCAGAGGTGTCATGTAGGTAAAACCCAGGTCGTGTCTCACTTTAGCTTCACACTGACACAATGTTGAAATTTAATAAGAACTAAATAATGCGGAGTGACGTTGATTTTATCTAAAAAATTAAATATGGATCATTTGAAAAGGTGAGTTCAAAGGACTATTTAAGGAAAACATATAGCGTAGAAATAATGATTTCTACGAGGAATATCATTTTACGTTAAAATTGAAACCAAACGACAAGCAATTCGGCTTAAATATCTACTTTTAACCTGATCACCAAACATAGAGGAGACTAAGATGTTTAGAGGGCTTTCCTTTATTCCCCTTTACACGTGTCACAAATTCTACGTTTGACAATGGCGTACAAACGTAATAATTTGCATCATATGATATGCAATAAACCATAAAATCGTGATTAAATATGTATAAGATAATCCACATTAAAAAGAAAATTTCTGTTGAGCCTATCGTTTTCTTGGTACTTGAAGTACTAGGTTTTTGATTACCAAACTCCTTTTGACCCTAGTATTTCATATTATAGAAATGTCATTTAACGATCATTCATGGATTATAACCTTGAGATTCTTAAGATAAAGGTTGTAACTTACCTTATGAGGTTGCAGTTCACGGTCTCATTGCAACTGTTTGAAGTGTTCATCTTAATTGTCGGTTGAAACCTCGCTAACATTTATCAACGTATACTCAACTTTTGGCCTCTTTTACAAACGATCTCGTGAGCTTTCGTCAGCTTATATATATAGCCTAGGAGCCGAAGGCGGAGTTAAATGCTAAAGAACCAATGGTTGAAAATCACGAGGATCACGTTAGAAACAAGGTATTGATTGACAGAGATGCTAAATTTACTGCAATATATATTATACACGACATTTAAAGTTTTATATCAAACAATAACGTCACAGACAAAATGATTTAAAGTTATTTTTATCTGTAGACGTAGAACGGAAAAGTGTACTGGTTTTAATTTAATTTGATAACCGTTAACTTTTATCAACGAAATTTCTTAAATATCCTGATATTCTATAAATCAAAGTATTTAGTACGAAAACAAGAATTGATCGTGAAACATAGATCATATTAACTGCTTTATTAGTAAAATTATTATTTAACTAGTATATGTAGATAAGTTCTATTTAATCTAAAATATCAGATTTAAATCTGGTACAGTCGTGTACAAAAAGTACGTAGTTCATGTAGGTGATTGCCTAGCCAAATGAAATATAATAATAAAATAAGCACGCATTATTAATTACAAGGAAAATTTTTAAATGTCCTTTCTAAATCAAACTTCCAAAACAATAGAGTATATGACCCACTCAGATTCCTAACTCTAGGCACGTCTATGATCAGAAATATATATTTTGACTATTCTAACTTAAAAAAGAAAAAAACAAACAAACGAGTAATTAAACAAGAAAATTGTCTCATAAAAACAACTGCACGATTCACTGTAATTATGCTCTGATTGTTTTAAGAAGATAATTCAGCAGCTAAACTAAATTCTCGTTCATTCTGTATAACTTCAAAGACTTGAACTACACGGTCCACATCTGTTCCTAATATGATGTTTTTAAAAAAATAGGTACAAACAAGTGTTCCTAAAATC